TTTAATGTATAATTAGTCTTAGTTGCTAATGAAGAAATGAGTTTTTAATTACAAGGAATATACTGTGTCTCAAACTATTCCATTTTCAAGACCTAGTTCCTTTGATAAATGTATTTTTATCTCTATTTTGTCCAGTCTGATCTCATTTGTGAAGAACAGTTTAAGAAGTCACTGGTTAGAGCATTTATTTGCCTGGTTCTCTGGACTGCCTTCCTTCCTTTTCCTTTAAATAATCTCACTATTGCTTGTCTTTGTTTATTATATGACTTGTAGGGTTGTGAGGAATTCCAGAATAAACCTGAGTTTTAAATTGCTATCTTTGGAGTAGATTGGTGTTGAGTGTTGTACTCTCTGTTTCATCTTTAAATATTTAAATTGCAGGCTCTCTGGCACCCTCTTAAATTAGATCCTTCACTTAGTAGTTTTGACATTTCATAACCTTGCTCCTCAGGCATTAAATATTCACCTGTTTAAATGACAGTGAAAATGTAAAACACAAGCCTACCTATTAATCCAGTGAATGTAGATTGGAGAGCAGCTTGCATTTGGTGAATGAAGAAGCTATTTTGACTCTGCTGAAACTTACGCTGCGGGTTCCTTGTTCTGAAGTATTTGTAACACAGAATTTGCTGTAAAACAAAACCATCCCTTGGGTCTTCTCCAAGGAATTGTGATGAGAAGAACCTCAGAAATAGACTTAATACTTTGAAGTTTCCAATAATCCAAGAGTGGTTTCTCTAGGTAAGTATTAAAGCAGGGCACCAGTGTGAGCTCCAAATCCACAGAAAAAACATGGTCAGGAATTGCTGATAATTGCCAGATATGGCATTTGGTCTGGAAACTGATTGAATCTCTAAGGTACAAGTCCTTATCCTACTGTGAGTCTTCTTCCCACTTTGGTCTAAGTACATTTTCTGTTTATAATCCTTTGAGGTAGAAGAGGAAGAAATATTTGTTTTTTCCTGGAAGGAAGGATGTTCCTGACAGTGTTCTCCTTGATTGAGCAGGGGAGGGGGGGCTGCTTTAATCCAAAGAAACAATAAAGGCACAGGGGGCAGACATAGCACATGGGTCTGAGGCGGAAGGGCGGTGGCTCTTCCTTCATCTCTTTTTCCTGGAAGTGGGCAGAGGGAGGTGGTGGCGCCTTCCTCATTTAATGACATTCTAAGAATTGGAAAGTAATAAAGCTAATTTCGGAATCCTAATTATGATGCATACTTTCTCCAGTTAATCACAATTAGTGGCCACTCATCCTTTCTTGGGAAAAAGTTACTTTAAAAAAAATACTAATGGGAAAATGAAATAAAAGAAGTTTAACTGATTTGTAGCGCCATCCTGTTTGGCTGTCTCTGCTCAGTTTTACTGTGTGTGTTTAAGAAACAAGATTCGTTTGATTTTTCCAAACTCTCAAGACAAGTGCACTGATAAGCTCGCTGCTATGGTGTGGTATCCTGACAGGAAAACTGGACAAGCAGACAAGGACATGGGTTCAGAAGCTCAGAATTTGGATTCAGACTTCAACACTTGTGCATGACCTTAGGGATGTTATTTATCTTGTCTGTACATGTTTCCCCAGCTGTAAAACACTAATGTGTGCCCTACCTACCTCATGGGGTTGTTGCATGGCATAAACAAATAATGTGTTTGAAAGCGTTTTGGCAATGATGGAGTCCTATAAACCCCTAAATGTAGGTTAAGTGGAAAAACTGTTACCATCTTGCATTTCTATGCAGTCTAGTCCCCTCTGTCCTGCCTACGATGATAAGAACAAGTTCTTTGACAAAGCTACTGAAAAAACAATGTTTTGAGAAGGTTTTGTTATTGGTTCTTAGAACTCTTTTAATGCAACTGGATTCTAAAAATGTACCCAGGATTTGTTATTAGTAGGTATGGTAAGACATGCAGACACATAAATGATTGTTATGAAGGAGGAAGTTTATATTTATAGATCAGTAGAAACAGGAGACATGGCATACCATGTAGGGCCACGTGAGGAAGCACCAGGATGGTCAGGAGGCAGAGGGGAGAGGGCAGAGCATGGCTCAGAGCCTTTACTGGGGTCCTAGGGGAAAGGAAAGGACAACGTAGGGTAGGTACACTAGGTCATTTTAACATTGAAAAGTGTGAATAATGTTGGAGGGATCTGGGCTGTAGGGTGGTCCTTGATTGTCTGGTACCTGGCCTTAAGCTGATTTAGTGCAGGAGGAATATTGGTTTGGTGTGAGAGTTTGATAAAGGAGACAAGGGGTGGCCTCTGGTTTGGCTGGTGTGTATTTCAAAGGTATGTTCACTGGGGAGTCATTTACTGCCCTGGGAGGGGCAGTCTGTCCAGGATCAAGGCTCTAAATGCCAGAGCATTGAGAATACAGAAAATAAGATGTCGTCCATACTGGTTGGAAATTAAAGCAGCCGTGTGAGCTGAAGACTGGACATGGAAGGGGGAGAAAAATGCAGATAACATAACTGACCCAAGTATGTTTTCAAAGCTTTTACATAAGCACTAAGTATAAAACCGGTTTCCTAAATATATTTTAGGATAACTTTTAAAACACTCCACCCACACTCCTCTGAAATGCACAAAGCAGTGAATGTCACTGCATGAGTAAATTATTCTGGAAAACAGTAATGGACTTAGGTTACTCTCAACTTTAATTGTCTGGGTCTTTGTCTACACTCTCAGATGCATGTAGAGCTGAGTATTTATAGTGTAGTCACCTCTGACTTTTTAGGCTCTGTGCTAATAGCATTTTATGTGGATTAGAGATTATTTTATTATTCCTATTAACCATACAAAGAAGGCACAATTATGTAGTAATAGAAGAAAGAATTTGCCTTAAGTTCAAGTCCTTAATGAATGAAACCTAGTTGTGAGCCCAAGCACATTGGTTGGAGAAGTGTCACCTTTCACTCCCGTACCCTGCCTCATGCCATGCTTGAGCGCGTGTTGAGGACGCCTGCTTCATGGGTCTTGGAAGTTATCGATGCTTCCCCTGTTGGGCACGGGAAGGGGCTCTTCACAAAGGGAACACTTGGGTCACATGGTCTGGAGCAGACCATCAGCTGACTTGCTGAGAGATCCCTGCCACTGAAATAAAGCCTTGGAGTCCTAGATTCTAAAAGAGTCTGAGTGGTCGGATTTTTAGCTTACCCAGATAATTGAGGATTGTACTTGAGAAAATAAGTCAGGTATTCATGTATTCACATCACTGAATGTACGTGTAATTCATTTGCTTTGTTTTTATTATTTTATAGCGGTCCCAAGACTAGATTCTATTTGAATTATTTTGATCACTTGGAATTTTCCTTAATTTCTTAATTTTCACTTGCATTTACGTTCCCCAATCTTCATTGCTTTTAAGTATTTAAGCATAAAGAAAAAAAGAGTAATATGTGATTAGTGAACTATCTTCTCTTCACCACTATTCCAAATTCCTTGAATCTGTAGTACAGGATGGTGCTAGTGTGACTTCCAAATAGAGCTTTTGGAACAAATGTATTTACACTTGTTAATGAGCAAACTTGTGGAATAAAAGATAAAGAGTATTAAATATTAACACCATAGGGTAAGGGTGAAAGACAGCACGACCTTTATAAAAATCTGTCTTTTTTTTTTTTTCCTTTCTGGAAAGCAAGAATAAAAATAAAAAATAAGAAGTGGTAACACAGAGAACTACGGACAAAATTGAAATTAACGGAGAAAACATTTGGTGTTTCTACCAAATACCAAAAACTGTTTAAATTCAACAGGCATTTTTTCATTTGTGTTTGCAGTAAGCAGTGGGCCAGGATCGGGGAGGATACTGATGGATACAGCGAACAGGCAGAAGTTACCCCGTGCTGATACCCCAGCAAATTAGTCTCACTGGCCAGAGCTAGACCCTCTGGCCATTTTTTTTTGAAAGATCTTGTAGATGGAATATATCGTGAAGTTTCTGTCCTTGTAGTCGGTTCTTCCAGAAGAGCTTACCACTAAACCAAAGGGAATGTAGTGAGGAATAGTACGTGAGACTCAGGGCTGTCTAAAAATTGTCAGAGATGGGTTGTTAAAGGCAAAGAGCTGTCCATTAACAATTTGGGCAAGACTGAGATGACTTGATGAACTATCTCTTGAATGCTGTGCCCCTTGTAAGCTGTTGTGGACCCACGGGATCAGTGGGTTACCAGAGTGGCTTTACTCAGCAAATGTTCTAGCATGCAGGATATACAAGGTACTGACTGTATGGTGGTGAGAGTGACAGATACAGCTCCTTCCCTCCTGGAGCGTCTGTAAAGAATGTTGATGATAAATACAAGCAGACTTACTTTATCTTTACGTCCTTGTACAGTTTTGGACACTCTATCTCAAAGATGGGAAGCTTTTCTAAAGGGTATGAAAAACAACAGGGAAAGTCAATAAAGGAGCCTAAGACCTTTTGAAAATGAAGATTAAAGAGATTTGTGGACAACAAGACAGTAGGCAGGGGATAACAGGAGATGTAGTTCATTCATACTTAAACTTCTGGGAATTTAAGGATGATAGCTGTTTTGAAATAAATCAAAAGAGTATGCTTAAAATAATTTCTTTTAGTAACTTTGTGCCACCACTCCCACAGATGGGAGAGGCGCAAAAACAGGTCACACAGACATGTCAGATGAATTTAGAATCCTTAAGCTTCATCGTTCGGTTGAGCTTAAATCCCTAGTTTGAGGGGGTCGGCCTCCTTGAGGGCGGTTTATTACTGTGAGTAGTACTCTGCTGTGTGCACCAGTGGTTTCTTTTGAATACTTTAACAAACCTAGGAATAAATACTCTCTTCTCTCTGCCCAAGGGAATGGCATTTCCCGTTTGTTGAGAATTTCTCCAGAAATGAGTAAAACAGTTAAAATTAATGCTGGGCTCAGTTCAGCTTCAGTGTTTGTTGTATGCTCCTTAGGGAAAAGCTCCTAACCAACTTAAGCTTTCTTGAGTTTCTGAAGGGAGGTGACTGAGTACGCACGTACGTTTCATTTCCCTTTCCCAGGTTTCCTATGCCCGCCCGAGCTCCGCTTCTATCAGAGATGCAAATTTGTACGTCAGCGGACTTCCGAAAACAATGACCCAGAAGGAGTTGGAACAACTTTTTTCACAATATGGACGCATAATTACTTCTCGTATTCTTGTTGACCAGGTCACTGGTAAGTAGGCAGCTGCTCTGGACAAACTTTTACCCTTTCTGATTGGCAGATTGTGAAACATTCTGCCTCCTCATACCGCAGTCTTGCCTCTAGAACACATCACAGGCATACGTGGGCCAAAAAATGCAGTTTTCTGCTGGAATCGTTCATAAATATGCATGAATGAGAATAGGTTGTGGAGTGCAGTGAGTGAGCCTGAGTCATTTCCTCCTTGAAGGTGCAGGTTCAGAACCTGTTTCATGGCTTATAATAAATCTACCAATACTACTATGTACAAGTTATTATACGTAATTATTACAAATTAATGATTGTCGTTTCAAAGCTGCTGCATAAAAAAGATCTCCAGCCTCCTTATAAACTACTAATAAACAATCTTATATTTGTAAAAGGTGTAGTTCAGTGCAGCTAGTTCTCCAAGGGAGAGTTACACCACATTTATACTAGTAATTCTGTTAAGGCTGTTTTCCAGGTCCATGCTGTGTTATACAGGCATGTGTAAGAGTTTGAAATTTTGAATGTTAAAAATGTATTTTATGCTTAATGTAACTTTTAACCAAACTAATAAGTTTATTAAAAATTTTGTTTATAAGAGAGCTGTTCTGCTAAAGCTTTTAGTTAATTACATCTGTATTGCTAGTTTTTCTTTACAGATTTAAAAAATAAACTACAAGCATATTTTTCTATTATAAAAACAGTATTTACTCTTTTTAAGACTAATTGGAAATAGGGAAAACCGGTAAGGAAGTGGAAAAAAAAACCACCTGCTGTGTCATATACTCAAGCAGTCACATGAAGAGTTTGTGGGACTTAAAAAAAATTTTTTTTTTAAAAGGAAATAGGTTTTCCTCTTTTCTGTGTGTTTCTCTCTCCCCTGTTTCCAGAGTAAAAGAGAACTCACCCTGTTCTCTTCCTCTGTCTTTTTCCTTCTTTCTCTCTCTTACATAATGATAGTACTAATGAAGATACATTGTGCATTGCTGTGTATGATTTTTTTAAGAAAGCAATGGACCACAGAATAAAATCAGGCCAAGTTACTAATTCTTCAAGTGAAAATCAGTTTAGTTGATCTGAATTTGATCAGAAGCAGCCTATGTTCTCTGCCTCTGTGCTGTTAATTAGTCTCTTACAGGATCTAAACACTGTACTTCTGAGGTCTGAGTAAAGAGAATGTCTGCCATCATTCACATGCTTAGAATGGCCTATGGGTCTCACTGTGTGGAGAAAGCTTAGTCCAGTGAGGGTATATAAAAATGTGATCTCTTCTTCCTAGCTGCATTTCATAATTCTCATTCATTCTATCACAATGTGTTGCATCACACAGACTGCTAATGGGGTCAAATAGAAATCCAGGCCTAGCAATCCAGATATATTTGTGTAGCACAACGAAAAAGACAGTTTATTTTGTTATTATTCGTGCTTTTTAATTCTTCTACTCTCAGTGAGGACTTGAATCAAAAGTAAATTTCACCTGTGATGCAGAAAGCCCCTCTCCTAACTGCAGGTCCATCCTGAGTACGTAGGCTGACAGGTGGACTTGTCTCGCCACCTCCTGGTTTAGTCAGAGGTTCTCAAGTGAGGTTCTGCGCCTGCAGCATCAGCATCCTCCTGAACCCTTGTTAGAAATGCACATTTTGGCCCCCCCCTCCTCCAAACCTAATGAATAACCTCTCAGTGTGCATTTTACCATCTGTTTGGATCCGCTCAGTTTTGAGTACCATAACTTTAGACAACTTATCCTTTATAGAGACCATTCCCTTGCCTGTCTAATGGTTTCCTTGTGCATGAAAAAGTGAAGTCCTAGGGATTATTAAATCTCAGCAGGAGCTAATAGATAATTAAAAGGATAGATTGGCTGTCATTTCACTGTTTCATCTTTATACTTATTGCTTTCAACATGAAATTACCCATTTTACCTTAAATGAAAAATCCTACAATTTTGTTATTCGGCCATCAGGTGGTAATAATGTGCAGCAGATAGAATTTAAATAGGAAAGGTAAAGTGATAGGGGCTGTCTGAGATAAGTGTTTATGGGGAAAAAATGCCCAATTTACCTTGGAATAAAATTCTAAGCCATTCAACTTACATGGTACTAATTGTAAAGCCAGTAGACCTTCATTCTTTAATTTTAAAGTTCCTATAAATCATGATGGTCTGTTGCATTTTCTCAGCCTATCTTTCTTAATGACCTCTCATTCTTTTCTACTTCAGTGACATACTCTGAATCATCTAGGCTTTTCTAGCTAGTGGTCCCAAGCTGGGAGTGCTAGTACCAGTTTGCTTGCCAAGAAAATCTCCCTGCAACTGCTTATCTCATGATGGCCAGCTATGGCCACCCCAAATAGCCTGTTAAGCTAATTAAATGGAATGAGTTGGGTTTCCCGCTACTGTTTCGCAAAAGCTGGACAGGTATTTGGCCATCCTTCTGCTTTCCCGTTCTTGTCTCACAAAGTAGGGAGAGCGTGAGCCAGGGAATGGCATTCCGCTGTCAGAAGCAATGCTGCCAAGGAAAGAAAGCTTTGTAGCTTTACTTCTGTCTTATTTATTTTTAAACTCCAGGTCCTCTTTTGCCTCTTCTTTTTTCTGCATATAATATTTCTCTAATAAAGAGCAGCTAGTTAAAAGCAGTAGGGGAGCTTCAGGGAACCAGAAAAAGCCTTTTCAGGCATTTTTCTTAAAAGATCGGTATCCTATACAATGTTATTAAGTAGAATTTTATTATTTAAAAATTTAGCTGAAATTTATCTCTGCTGCTGTGCATGTATTTTTAGCATAGCTTTAGCATTTTTAGCAAATGCCTAGGTCTGTTTTTGTTGCAAGAAAAGGAGCTGCTGTGCTCTTTGTTCTGAACTGTTTGTCCAGTAGCATAATTGGAAGAACACAAGGCAGGTGTACTGTTGACATGAAAGAGTGTAAGTGTATGAGAGGGAGAGAAGAAGGTGGGGAAAGGAAATGTGCATATGGTTGTGTGCTTTCTTTTCTCCTTGGCTTATTGGTAGGCATGTGATAATGGACTTAATGCATTAATTTAATAAATTGAATGCATTTCATGCATTAAAAAAATACAAAATTGTGTTGCTAGACTGAATTGCTACTAAGTTAAAGGTAAAACTTTCCTCCTCCTGTAATTTTGTGGCAGATGTTTTATGTGGGTGAAAATATGTTCTTGAGAAGGAAAAATTAATGTATCCTTTCTTCTCTCCTGTCTCCTTCCACTCCCTCCTTCCCAAATCCTTACCCACATCTACCATAGGCATATCAAGGGGTGTAGGGTTTATTCGATTTGACAAGCGGATTGAGGCAGAAGAAGCTATCAAAGGCCTAAATGGCCAGAAACCTCCTGGTGCCACAGAGCCAATCACTGTAAAGTTTGCTAATAATCCAAGCCAAAAAACCAATCAGGCCATCCTTTCCCAGCTGTACCAGTCTCCAAACAGAAGGTATCCAGGACCACTAGCTCAGCAGGCACAGCGTTTTAGGTAAGTCTGGTCTGGTTCTTATGCCCAGCTACTCAACTCAGAACTGTCAGGTTCGCTGTCCAGTCCTTTTATTGACAGAATCTCTGGTTTTCTATAGTTGTTGTTGTTGTTTTTCTTTTTTTTTTATGGGCACAGAAGAAACCTACTTGGGAAATAGTGTCTTTTGCTATTATCCAAGGTGGGGTCAAAACAATGATGACCTACAGCTGTGGTTTCAGCTGGGCGTAATCTGGCCCCTCTGGGGACATGGACAGTGTCTGGAGACATTTATGCTGGCATAACCGGGGTGTGGGTGCTGCTAGCGTCTAGTGGGTAGAGGCCAGGGATGCTGCTGATCATTCTGCAGCGCACAGTACAGCCTCCGACAGCAGGCCGTCCAGCCGCAACATCACTGGTGCCCAGGTTGGGAAACTCTGACCTGCAGAATGCTGGGGGCCTTCTTAGCTGTTTGCAGTGCTTCCAATGTCCCCTTTTTGTTTTTTAGCTTGATAAGATTTTATTCTTGTGTTTCAATTTTCAGGTCAAGCTCTTTCAGTTACTTTGTTTTATAATACGTGTACTGCTAAGGATATATAACTTACGTGAATACATTAAGTATAAATAAGTCTGTCTCCTCTTTTTCAGTTTTTATTTCTTATAGTTTAGGGATTGGAAAACCCCTGGAATGGCCCAGATAGTAAATAATTTAGGCTTTGTAGGCCATGGTCTCTGATGTACTTTTTTTTTTTTAAACAACTCTTTAAAAATGTAAAAACCATTCTTAGCTCCAGGGCTGTAGAGGAACAGATGGCATTCTGGATTTGGCCTGTGGGTGGTAGTTTTCTAACCTCTGTATAGTCCATACAATGACCATGCATTTTTAGCCCAAAGAAAATCTATCTTACAGACAGGGATAAATAGTTCAATTTTTCAAGTTTGATTCTAATACTGGGGCAACATCCAGGTTGAGTCATTTAGAAAAATCCCTAATCCGCATGTGAAGAGAACAGTGACTTTTACATGTTAAACGACAAAGAGACATAAACAGTTTTTATTTTCTGCAACATTTTTGATACCCTTTTTGGCCATATGTTACACTGTAGCATGATGCCTTATAACCTCCATGCTAGTATTTTTGTTGTTTTTGTTCTGTGTATTTTTTTTTAAATCACAAGTTCATATCAGTTTTATTTTCTTGCTGGGACAGAATAGTTAATTACTTAAAATTTAGCTTAATAAAGGGATATGTGTTCTCTAGCTTAAATCACAAGGTTTTTTCTTTTCAATTTGGATGTTTATAGAGTGCTGGCGAGAGTGAAGATAAAATCAGTCTAGTATCTCCTTTTAACAAACTCAGTTATGTCACCTGAGGTATGAGAGAGAACTTTTCCATAAATACTGTGTTCATTTCCTACTTGGGATGGCTTTTGCCTTGGCAGAAGAGTCTGTACTGTCAAAAGGCTCCATTTGGAACTGGATGACTTGGTACCCAGTTGACTGAGCCTTGTGTTCACTTTCTGCTTCAACTTTGCAAGGTTTAAAAGAAGTGTTTGCAGGAAGGAGACCCGGCCACCTTTGACTCTGGTGGCTAGTAGTGGTGACCGGGCTGGGGAAAGGAATGTGTGGGGCTGCTGCTGCTGGCTCTTGTGGAGAAAGAAATTTCACAAAGCCGTTTCTTGGCTCTGCCTGTAGGTTTCCTCTGTGGCATCTTAAGTGAGTAATGTTTTTTTGCAAATTTAGCACAGACATGCTTGAAGGAGTTTTAGAGGTGTTTCCTAGGCAGCCTGTCTCGTTAACTTCAGAGCTCTTTGGGGCCCAGACAGTAATTTTTGAGCTTAGGTAGAGAATAGTTCTTTGAAACATACTGATTGATTTTTAACACTGTGGAAGTACAAGGTGTTTGATGTTAGTGGAAAGCTGTGTTAATTTGTTATTTTTGGTGTTTCCCAGTTTAAGCTCTGGTTTTTGTCTTATGGTAGTTATTAAGGAAAACAGTGCTCTTAGAATCAAGATTGGTTTCTGAGAAAGACTGGGCAGCAGGACTGAAATGACAGGGTCTTCAGGGGAATGCTCCTTTATTGAAATAGCAAGGCATGTAAGTGACGCAAATATCAGGTTGCCAATAGATACTGTATCTACTGTCAACTTCATCCGCTCCCCCTCTTCACATGCTGTGTGCTTTTTTTTTGAGGGGGATTGGGTAAAGCTGTACCAGGTATTCTTATGGTCAAGTCTGATATTTTTAAAAAATACCTTCTGCCCAGTCTATGCTTTTATCTTTCAGTTCTGTAGGTAATTAGCTTTAGCAATTCTTCCCTTCCTTGCCTCCTATAATAAGAAATTTTGGATAAAGGGAGTAAAAGTCATTTGTTGTGAGGGAAACTTGGTTTCAGAAAATGAGGAAGATTTTCACTGTCCTTTTCAGAGTCTTCACTCTTATTTCTGTCACCCCACTTTCCATTCCTCTCACAATCCAGCTTTAGATAATAAATGTTGAACAATCTTTGAGCTCACTGAGGGTGTTTGTTCTACACTGAGTGTTAGAAGAAATGGAGAGCCTTTATTCCTGGAGTTCAGGTTTAACCTGATGGGTGTTTGGTTGCTTTTCTTTAATGTTTTTGAAACTGAGCTGTCATTACGTTGATTTTGTTGTTTTCCATTCTTCTGTTGAATTAAGGTTGAATCTTTCCTTTCATAAAAATACTTAAGGACTGACTTGCTTTGTTGGTATTTTGCTCTTCTGTGAGTTCAGATCTAGATCATTACCTTGGTCTTTTGTCCCTAATATCTGTCCTAATGCTCTTAGCCTTGAGTTTGTCACCTTTCAGCAGGCACTTAGAATATTTCACACTGTGTGTTTTTTATGTTGTCATAGGACCTTGGGAGTGGAGAGAGATTGGTGAATACAAGTTATAAATATTAATAGTCAAGGATGCTTTTAATGTTTATGAAATACACCATATCTTTTAAGGTAAAAGAAAATTAAAATCCATGTAATAAAGGTTAAGTTTAAAAGTGGGCTTGTGAGGTTTATGACTCAGTCAACCCATATGAATAATTGGAAAGAGAATTATTTTAACATGAGCACTGCTAATCTAATATGCTCATCTAATTGACTACAGTTTTCAGAATCAGACTAGCCTTATTTATTTGGATGGATAGTGTAATTCAAGCCCCTTAAGTATATTCTTGGGACATGGTATGTGAATTAAGCTTAAAGCCAAATTTTTTTAATCTCTCTTCTTGAGGAGCAGCCTTAATTTTATTAAAGATGATCTAGTCTAATGGCCTGTGTGCCTGCGTCCGTAAGCCTTTACGCATTTTTGAAGGAGCCTTTTAGATCAGCACTTGAATTTCACTTAAGACACGTGCTGGTCGCACTATCACAATTTACTTTTGGGAGAAACTGGTATCAATCTTTCTGAATAATTTTTTTCTCTTAGAGGACAGATGATACCATCGAATTGGATAAGGGCATGAGTGGATGATCTTGGTCAAAGCAGATCTTGGTTGGTGCTTTGGAGAAGTTTTGAGAACCATTATTGGTAGAGTTCAGAGTTTTTATTTTCTTATCCACTAATAATCTCTCTTTATATTTTTATTTCTGACTTTGACTTTAGGTTTCCCCCTTTACCCATCCGTGGGCCCTCATCATCTGTCAGCCAAATTTCTTGGAAACTAAGTATATACCTTCTTTTTATTCTTTACTTATAAACATCTAGCTTTGAAGTGGGAATATGTTTCTATTCAAAATACTGCCTAGTTATAATCTGAAACTAGGCATACAGTCATAAATTATATGCACATAGGCTTGTGCTGTTACGTTCATTAATTCGTAAGCCCTAATCAAACATAGAAAATAAAAATAAGAAATGAACAGCTTATCAGTGTCTTCCTAATTATCATGCTAACTAGATTCATATTTTATTTACATAATATTGTAGTAAGTGATATGCCTTTAAGACAAGATTTATAAAATTACGATCTTGATAATTTGGAATTTCTTATCTGACGTCATGTGAGACATGTTCCATGATTTCGTGTCTAAGCTCAAGTGTAGCTTGTACTAGGAGTAGAAGAAATAATCAGCTCTCCCTTTTCTTACATGCTTGGGCTTCCCTGACTGGTACCATCCTCACTCTGATGATGGTAATTTCTTATTTGTTTGCAGGAATCTTGTAAACTACTTCTTCTTTGAGGGTTATTTTAATTAAAGCTAGGTTTCTCAGTCTAATCCTTCAAATCCAGTTAACATGTTGTTTGTAAAGTGGATCACGTCCACACTGAAGAACAGGTGAAAATGTCACTGTCCCTTTGAGGATTTCTCAGTCTTCTCTCAGGAAAATATGTGGGACCGAGTATAAGGGTATTGGGTGCGGTGTATTTGATTCAGTATGAATAAAGAATACTTTATTTTTAAACTAAACAATATTTTTAATGGGCACTTCAATATTTATTTGCCACACTGTTATACATCATTATCCCCCCCCCCCCCGCACATGCTCCCCTCAGGTCATTCTGGAGGCTACTAACTTGGTCTCCATTAAAAATTTGCTTCCATCTTTAAATGACTACATATAAAAGATGGCTGTCCTTGAGCTCTGGACAGACCTAGAGAAGATGGATAGTTGTAGAGAGTAGGCGTGATCCGTGTGTCTGAGCTTACAGTTCACAGTTTTCCAGCTGCTATGAGACTTGGGGTGTGTGGTTCCCCACGTAGAGTGCACTCTCTTCTCCTAGCTCCTATGTGTGTGTGGCACGGAGAGCAGGGAAAGTGCTAGGCCCTGCTGTGTGCAGGCAGGGTTGTTCGGCATTGCCTATGTTCTGTTTCTTAGGAGCCATGTTCCTCCCAGCTCTCTTCTTGATGGGGGAGGAGAAGGAAGGGGAAGAGGGAGAGGCAGAGGCAGATAATTTAGATTAAATTCCAAAGGACTGGGTGTTTTTCTCAGATGGGTATTGAGTGAAGAAATCAGTGGTCAGGATCATGGTACCATGCAGGATTTTACATGTAGGGCAAATATGAGGCCCGTTGAGAGGGTCTTCAGAGATCTTAGTATAAAAGTCCTAGGCCTCCTTCCTGAAGCATCCTGCGATGGGGAGTGACAAGTGAGATGTATTTTCCTTCACACATGTAATTCCCACTTCTGGGGCGGTTTGTTTCCACCCTGCCTTGAAAAAGCTGAAAACGTGCTTAGGAGATTGTATCTCTGGACTTCAGGTTGGTATCCCTAAGCTGGTAGTGACAGAGTACGTCTAGTTAATGGGCAGAGATGTTGCAGCTGTATTTTAAGTGAATGTATATGGTGTCTCTGCATCCGGGCCTTTCAGTATTTTGGAAGGAGACCTCAGTATGCTCTTCTATTCTATGGGTGTCATACTCCAAATGCATTCTGTATTGACCATTCCAGCAATTTTATGAAATCATCTGTATCAGATTACTTTGTGGTTGGTCATACCCACTTGTTTGCATCCTTACTTCTGTTATCTGGGGCCTTTATTTTGGAGTATAAAGGCATGGCATCTTTGACCATACTCATCACTTCTGCACAAAATAAAACCCTCCCACCCATGTGCTTTTCCCACACATGTGCCCTCACTTATGTGTGCAAACAGGCTCCCCAGCCAGCCCGCCTGATAGTTCTTACTCTGGATTAAGTAGTTATGGATAATGCTAGTAACCTCATTGCTTTTATTCAGTCAGCAGATATTTACTGTAAACCTTCAGTGATCCAGGCCGTGCTCCATGCTTAAGTGTTTCAATGAGTAATGAACTTGTCCCTGCTTCCCGGAGGCTAGAGGGACGTGACGGACAGATGCAGATGAAGATCCTTTGTCATTGTGATTTGTTCTTTTCTGTATTTTATTTTTTTAAATACTTAGTATTACATCAGCTCAGTTCTCTTCTTCCATTTTTACTAAACACACAAAATGCCCAGAGGTGATTGGGAATTGGAATGTGTGAAGATTCTGTTTCCACTTCTGAAAGACCAGAAGGAGATTCTTTTTTCTTTTTCTTTTTTTAAATAAAACTAAAAGGAGTTGCTTTCTCGTGTTGTGCTCTGGCCTCACTTGAGGCCGCAGGTTAGAAAATAAAGTTGAAACATTCTTCAAACTTAACCTTTCTTAGGTGTTAAAAGAAAGAAAAAATGGTTCCTCCCTGACCCAGGATCCTGGGTGGAGAGTGTTGAACATTGTTGCAGTTGAGGTTATAGGGCAATGAACTAAGTTGTGCCTACCTCCTCTATACACATGTAGTAAATTGGTACGCATCGCGGAAATTTGGAACATCAGAATGGTCTATGAAATTGATAAAATGAAAAGAATCAAGCGCTATAGAATTAGTTTAACTTTTGAAATAGGGAAGGGGTAGAGTTTTAAAGAGTGCTCACCCACCCCCATCTACTTTCTTTTAAGAATTTTAAGAGAAGCTCAGGTTGTTTGCTTTGTTTCTATCTAGCTGGCTTCTTACACCTCGAGGAAGGCGACATCTCTTGTAGCACAGGCACAGTAGGCATCAGGCTCTGGGTCAGAACTCCTGGCTTTGTCGCTCAGTGAATCTGCTGTCTTACTTTCTACGGACCTTCGCTGAGTACATTAAGGTTCGGCTGAGGCTGTCTGTGAAGTTCAGTTTAACTGTAATAACACCACTTTTATTCTAAGAAATGAAAGTCCTTCATATTTGGGAGGTTGAAGGGAAATTTACGGAACTCTTTGTACGAGTTTGAATATTGGTGCCATCATCTAATAACCTCTTGGTTTTGAACAAGTCCCTTAATCTGTGTGCCTTTGTATACTCAGGAAACATTAGTTACAGAAATTAAAAGCAGTGTAAAGAACACGTAGGTGTATGTGGAGTGCTTAGAACTTAACTTGTTGGCAAAAGGTGAGAACCCAAATGTCAAGCTATTATTCCAGAGCCTCTGCATTGCCTGCCTCTCTGAGTGGTTTCCTCAGATGACCACCAGCATTTTCCCTGCACGCACTGACCCTTGTAGTGATAAACTGTATCCATTGGAAGAGCTAGTGTCTTATGGAAGTGGGTGCTCATTCACTCAGGAATGTAAAAAGACTCTGTTTTGAGACTTCACATACAATTAATATCTAAAAATCCCCTTGGAAGATGGCAGTAATGAGCCCAGCTTTCTTGAACATCAAGGGGAAAAATTAAAAACTGAAGTTTGCTAAATGTGTGTTTTGCAGGTTGGACAATCTGCTCAATATGGCTTATGGAGTAAAGAGGTAATGATAGAGGTTCATGATACTCATAATCCCTTCCCATAATTAAGTTTCTTTGATTTGGGGAGTGACACCCTTCATAAGTTTGTGTTGGGTTTTCTTTTGCATGTACAACTGAATGAAAAGCTGCTTTTTGAAGCACGGTTGACTTCAAGGAACATTTTTATACCACTGGATGCCACCTGGTCTTTAGAAACCCCATTGTTTGTTTTATATTGCGTTGCGACGTTACAGCATGTTTCCGTATGTGTTGGTCCCTCTTGCCCCTGATCCTGCTTAATTCATGAAGCCTGTTCTAAATATATTTCTTTGGTATTGTGGATAATATTATTTCAGTACAGCATTTAATGGCCATTTCATAACGTGTTAATACCTTGATAATACAGCATGCCACTGCCAGCCACACAGACTTTGGTTGAAACCTCAAATAGTTGTACGTATCTGTTGTGGGGAAGGGATTTACTGAAACTCTGGGGATGGGAAAGGGGAAAAGAATAAATCCATTGCTGTAACCAACCAACCTCTGTTTCTATTGTGTGTGGTGTGTGTGTGTGTGTGTGTGTATGTGTGTGTGTTTCCTATTTTGTTTAGTAGGTTTTCTCCAATGACCATTGATGGAATGACCAGTTTGGCTGGAATTAATATCCCTGGGCACCCAGGAACAGGGTGGTGTATTTTTGTGTACAACCTGGCTCCTGACGCAGATGAGAGTATCCTGTGGCAAATGTTTGGGCCTTTTGGAGCTGTCACCAACGTGAAGGTCATCCGTGACTTTAACACCAATAAATGCAAAGGTTTCGGATTTGTGACTATGACAAACTATGATGAGGCCGCCATGGCGATAGCTAGCCTCAATGGATACCGTCTGGGAGACAGAGTACTGCAGGTCTCCTTTAAGACAAACAAAACGCACAAAGCCTAATGAGCTCTTGTCCTCAGTCCATTTATATATGAAAACTATACAACAAAGGCAAGTTAAGAGAAACTTTATACATTAGTAAATGTCTTTGTAAGTCAGTGTTGAGATGGGGATAAAACGACTACTTAGCATCCTAAGAAATATGTGAGATTTTTTATTGCTAGTATTTGAATTAAAACTTCTTAAATATCTTTTATGTTTGAATATGGACAAGAGGTACAGGGTTTTTACCTGTCACATTGCATTCTATTGCCTTCTTTGAAGAAGGTGGACCTTTTAAAGTGTTTCAGCTAAGGGAAGACATTTCTTTTCTTTTTACATAACTGCCTTGAACCTGTGAGTAAATATTGAGGCTTTGTGTTGTATTTCTTCAGTTGGTTGTGTCTTTTTTTTTTTCCCCCTTTTTTTCTTTTTCTGATTAGCTTTGTGTTTGGTTTACATTTAAAGCATTGCTGTTATGTCTAAGAAAAGTATTTTGAAGTTTACATTTTTATTTATGAAGTTAAAAACAGTATTTATTTTGTAATTATGATTTGGGTTGGGGAAGGGGGGGCTACATTATAAACGCTTATTGTAAGAATACTGGAGAACTTTTCGTAAAGCAGTACCTTGCCAAAGAGATAAGAGCCTCTTTGATGTGGGTTTAAAAAAAGCATCTATTTTTATAAAAAAGAAAATTTGGAGAAACTTTTTACTGGTCCTGGAACAAATATTTTGACTTGAATACTTTGAGAAATCTCTTCATATGACACCTAGTGAGCTTTTAAAATTTACCAGGAAATTTGCAGCGGTTGGAAAATTTAGAAAGATTTATGATGTAGAAAATACTTTTGAGATCTTTGTATGAAAGGAGTAGAATCAATGGGGGAAACTGCTGGTTTCGTTTTTGTAATCACCAGTGGAGCGTCTGATCATCCTGGTTATTATGTGATAGGTGGCTCACATTGATTTGTGATTTTGAAACAAATAAAAAAATTTACAAAAGAATATATAAGAGCAGGCAAGAAATTTAAATTACCAAGAGATGGGGGAAAAAAAAATCTGTTCTTCCTAAAGAAATCCCTTCAGATAGAGCTCATGGTGTTTAGTGATGTACTTGCAGTATTGTTTGAAGAATTGTTTTGTCTTAAGGAAAAAAGATGTTGCACATGATTTGTACTGCAGCAAATCAGCAAAAGTGATCTGAGTTGGATATATTTGAAGGTATTTTGAAAGTTATGTTCAAGGCTAACACCTGAGCTTTGTGTAATGTAAATAAGACCTTGTGTTTATGAACCTTTCAGCTAATTTGATTTTTTTTTTCCCTTACATGCCAAGTGATGTTCAGGTTTTGAATGTTTTTGTATCAGTTTTTTCCTTTGTAAATGGCATTAACATTGTTACTTGAGGTCTTGCTTAATCACTTTTGTTGTCCTGAGGACTTGAATTTACAGTGCATCAGATTTGTTGCTAATTTTGTCTGTAGATAGTCTAGCTTCAGCTGTTTATGGTGATGCTACATTTTCGTTTATAAATATGTTTGTGGTAAAAAAAAATGAGTATAACCATAGGTTTTGAACAAATTTCCTTACATTTTTCATACAAAAATCATAAATATCTGTATGCTATTGAAATTTAACTTTGTATGATGCTTAAACCACTATTTGGGGAAATAATAAAATAAGTCTTTACCATGTATGAAAGAAATTTTAAAAAATACAAAATATTTTCTGATTAGCATCTAGCTTATAATAAATTTTCAAAAAAGCTGAAGGCAAAAATGCCTTCATCAGGATGCACTGAGAACTATATAGTTACGTCCTGCTTTTTGTATAAACTGAGATGCTCACATGCTTCCCCTTAGAACAGGCAATGTGCTATGCATAACATAGTTGTACATTATCTTTGCGGTTGCGTTGAGTTTTATTTTTTATTATTTAAAATTGTAGTTATAAAATCTTTCAGTATAGTACAGTACATATACTGTGAGGCGCGTGCTAAAGTGAATAAGCGAGTTTTCATGCTGACCCACTCAATGCTATTCAGAAATCAATTGGCTTAGCACTTTCTCATATCCTTAGGTGCATTTAGATTGTCAGAGTTAACCTGCGTTAAAAAAAAAAAAAAACTAAAAAGCTAAATACATGTATATACTTTAAAAAAAAAGTAAGATTTCCCTCACGGGAAAACAGCAGCTACATGCTTCTTTCCTATACTATTGTAGCAAACCAAGGCATTGATGAGAGGGCATGCAAATTGTGCTTCACTTTACAGTGTTTATCAGAGCACTTAATAAAATGTAAGGCTGGTATTTATTTGAAGTTGTACAGTATGACTTAATTCACATCTGTTGGAATAGAAAATATATTATGTTGAGTATTTAAGAGGCTGTACATGTTTTCTTTTGTGTTTGGATTCTTTGTACTTTTTCATGTTCAGTACATCAATAAACAAAGTTGAAGGGAAAGAACAGTGTGGTGAGTAGGTCTTTATACACACCTTGGGGGGCTCCTGTGCTCAGTCTCGTAAACTTGCTCTCTCGAGTTGAAAGAGGTTCCCTCAGAGCTTTAGTTGAAAGCGGTGTTATCTAAATAAGATTTCCAAAAGGCATGTTAATTGAAGTAGAATGTGCCAAAAAAACTGTTTTTTGAGTGACACCTGATTAGTTAGCTTTCCAATATTACTTGATGAGTAATTTTTATAGGAATATGTGGTTTCCTCAGCTAGTTGTAAAGATGCTGACATCATTCTATATCTCTGATTTAATAACCATCGACTTTTTTTTTTCTTTTTAACAAATGGAAACTGCCCTCACACATTTACTGAGGCTAAAGAAAAACCACAAATGGAAGGAAGGTAACTTACTCTGCTGCCACTGGCAAGATTGAATTAACCCGTGGGATTAACTGTTGTTGAATGAAACTTAACTTTTGTTGCCCAGATGCCAAATTGTCAAGAGACTCTTCTCTAAAATCTGAAACTCAGTCTCCATTAGGTTAGGGTTGATGTGTGTCATACACATGTACAAATTGTGAAGGCTGCCAACTCTGTGTTCCACATGGATGTTTAACAATTGTAACACATCCTTAACAAATCTGTGGAGGGAGAAAAATATTTCTTGATGATCTTTTATGCAAAGATTCTACTTCTATAGAACTTAAGAAAATTTGATAAGATAATGAAGTACTTTTTTTCTTTTTTTTTTTTCCAAAGTATACTAAATGACTTCTTTTAGTTTGATTGTATCTGTCAGCCTTTTTTTTTGGTGAAAAGCCATTCTAAAAGTAATTGTCCTGAATTCACAACTTAGTAGTCAAGAGCTTAGCTGAGTGACAAGACAATTCCTTTTCTTCCAACATGCAATTAATCTCAAATCTCCATGCTCCCTTTTTATTATATGAATTTAATACTCTAATTTTGTGATGTTGGAACAGCCTCCCCTCACCTCTCTCTTCTTGCATGCTTATCAGTATTTTGACTGGTTTGCATATAAGCAGTTCTTTTATATTTGAGCAGATAGTGAAAAATTTCTCAGTAAAGGTTTGTGAAACTACTGGTGTGCTTGAGGAAAAAAGTTTTCATTCTTAGAATCCCTTCTCACTTCATGCTTCCAAATCATCTAGGGTATCACAATTTATAGTGTTAGAGTAGCCAATATAAAGTTTTAATCTAAACATAAGTTTATGTTATTTGAGGAGATGTGTTAGCAATTTAACTTTCCTGTTTTTTTGTTTTTGTTTTTAAATAAACAGATTGAAAGTTCTAGCGTTAACATTATAAAATGACTAGAAATGTAGTGGCTATTTGTAACTTCCCACTCAAAGGGTTACCTGGAAATAAGAAGATGCATATACCTTAATAATAAGTATGTTGAAATTTTAATATGCTTTCAGAACAGTTTGTGTATACCTTGTATTGGGTAGAAGAAACAAAAGAAGAGATAGTGGCTTTGATTATGCCTCTGTTACCATATTGGAACCTGCAACACTGGAAGCAAGCAAAAAAAACCTGGTAAAATCATAACAATTTATTAATGTTTGACGAGCACTGATAGCCTCAGTTATTGCAGCAAATGGTTCATTTTTATTTTCCTACTCTTGTTGGTACTCTTTCTCTGAAAAAATTTCAAAAGTGGGCTCAGTTCCCTTCACGTTGGAGGGAGTAAAACATCTACACCATTAGTACAGGCAGCCTGGGCAGCAAGTTCAGTACTGTGTTACTGAACCTTTCCAGAATTCTGGTTCATAGAAATAAACAGAAGTATTTTTTGGTTGTTCAGCACAGGTTTATTAGTTATCTATGTACTGTTCTGTGTCCCGGGTCTATAAAAGTAAGCGAGAGATGGCTTTTGCCTTCTTTGAAACTACCACCTAGAAGGGAGAACAGACACGCCACTCTGCCGTGGCTGCAAGCCCAGAAGCAGGCATCCAGCCAGCTTGCTGTAGTTATTACAAACCTCGTTACAGCTCACAAAAGTGGACCTGCTCTGCCCTACTTATAGATTCTGCTTTTCCTTTCGTGACTATTAGCTCTTTTTTTTTTTTGTAATTTTCGACCTGCCATCGGTATCGTTTAGTGTTAGTGAATCATAAGATGCTCTCTTACTCATTAAGTTGTCCATATCCTTTGTGAAGCAAAAGTCTTTATATGCAGTCAAGACACTGCCTATCTGAACAGTTGGGTTGATGGAGGAATTGACTGGGTGGTCTTGCTCTCTTCAAACACGTTAACATATGAAGTGACAATTTGCAAAGCACTCATATGGTAAAATACCCTGAATGTTAAAAGTGCTGACTAGCTTTACTCTGCTTGGAATTGACGTGTCACAATTTTAGGATCTCAAACCCCTTATTAATACTACTTTTAGTTTAACCTAAAGATGTAGATGACGTTATAGTAGTTGATACTAACCCCCAGAAATACTCATGGATGTTACATTTTCAGATACCTCCTAGCACTCAAGCATGAATTCCTGCTTGGGAGACGTGTGCCTCTCTGTCCTGACACAGCTTGGCTTGTTCTCCAGAAGCTTTGTCCACACCCACAAGTAACTGTACAGTACAAACAAAGTGAAGAGTGCTCTGCACACAGGACGAGAGTGGTGTGTGTGTGTGTGTTGGGGAGGGTAGTTCGTGGGGTGGGGATGGGCAGCCACACAGAAGGGGCAGCAGTTGAGCTACATCATTAAGAGTAGATGGGATTTGAAAGAGATTGGGACAGGGAACTCAAGAGAGCGCTGATCTAAGAGTGTAGGTAAGCTTCTGTCTACTTGAAAAATAGACAACTATTTTCTGGACAATTAAGTCTTACTCAGTATAGACCTATGAGCTCATTAAACATTTTTGTGTGCATGACTAGATAATCTCAGATTAGTCAGAAATTTGAGTCCATAATGAGATAGAGTATCTAAAAATCGAGAGTTTGTTCTTAGTACCTTGCCTGTTTCTACTGTAACACTAAAAATATTTAGAATGCATGTGTTTTTTTTGGAGTTGAATAGAACTTGCTAGGTAGGCCATTGCCGCTTTTTCAAAGACAGCATTTATATTTGTAGCATGTTGTTCAGTATATACAAAAAGACCGAGTAAAACTCAGTCTCCCGGGTAATAGACTACTGGACCAATCTATTTCTCACAGTGTGTATCTTTCAGACTCAATGATTTAAGATGATAAAGTGATCATTCCTTAGTATTTATACTATTTCTAGTTCATAGGACTTGGTTCACTCTGAAACACTGGATTTGTGTGTCAGTTTTCTTACCCGCATCACTCAGGTATCACCTGCATAGAAGCTGAGGGGAAGATGATAAAATTGCAGATATGTCCAAGATGAAGCTTTAGTTGGACAGCTTTTTACCTCTTCATTGTTGTTTTGGAAGCTTAGTTGATAGCAACACCTTGCATTTTAATGAAGAACCACCGGCAAGAAAGGCAATCCATTTAAATAGCCCTTCAGGGGAAAAGGTTTGTCAGTTTGTTCTGAAGGGCCTTTTGAGCTAGATTGTGTGTAGTCCCCATGCCATCTCTAACTCTGATTTTTATTGTGCACTCCTTCCAAGAATCTTCCCTGTCCAGTTTGAGAAGCAGCCAGCCCCACTGTGGACCTCTGAGCAGATGTGAAGAACTGGCCACCCCCTTCAGGGTGAGACACCCTGTGGAATGAAGCACAGTTGACAAGGTAGCTTTGTTCTCTGGATTGTGACAAAGGTGTGGCAGCTTTGGTGAAGATGGGTAGGGGAAGGCTGTGGCCCTCAAATGCAGGTGGTCAGCCACCCAGAAGACGCACAGCTTTTATTTCTCAGACCTGAAAGTACCATTAAGCACCATATGTTTACAGGCATGTTCTAGGTTTTTTCCTTTAGCAAAACATAGGTTTTGTGAAGTTGCAGGTAGTAACAATTACAAAAAATAATGCAAATTTTCACTCCCCAAAATCCTTGAGTTACTATCAAAAAAGGTAAGCAGCTATTGCTTTAAATGTCAAAGTAAAATCCCAGTTGTTACTGTATTACTTAAATATTCTTTAGCAGAATTTCATCTCTTGAGAGTGGTTGCTGCTCTGTGTTTACCATATGTACCCAAGTGTATGTTGAAAGTATTCTGGTTTTCAGGAATTACTCTTGGAGAAAGTACCTGTGTTACACCCGTCCGTTGTGTCAGGAAAGCCTCTTTACTTCTGCAAGTACATTGCTGCCCACGTTCTTGCCTTAAGATTAAATGGCCTGAGTGCCAGGTTATCGATAAGGCAGACATTCTGGCTTTCCTAAAGGAAGGGTGATGAGAGCTTCTTAAAAGTGTATCTGACACTTACCCTAATAAAAGTGATTTTTTTTTTTGGTGCGATGGTAGTGTAAGTTGTGCTTCTCAAACTTTTTCACATCCTGGGCTGCAGTCCTGGGGAGATCACTATCTCTACACACCCATAACCCTCTTGTGATGTAGCATCACGCCGTGCCACACAGGTTGGGAAACTATTTTAAGTACATTACTTACTAAAAATTTCCCTTCTGGGTGCTTGCTTTGGCAGCACATATACTAAAAAATTCCTTTCTGGTAGTTCTTTCACCAAATGTACATTGAGCACCAGCTCTATACCAGCTGCTGTGCTGAGATTTTATTTATGTCTGACGTTTACTCTGCTTATACTGGTTTTGAGCTGGAGGACACCTCAGGGGCCCTGATCAACACCTTATTTGCAGAGGTGAGTCAGGCCCAGAGAAGCTAAGGTTCTCCATTCTCGAAGGTTCTTTTGCTAACATGAGACTTGGCAGTTGAACCTATTTATAATTGTTGAAACTCTGCCCTCTGCTATCGTTCAAGTCCTAAAACACACACTGAATTAACTTTTGTGAACTCTGTCCTTTGGTGGGATCAGATTTCTTGATTCCTGCTGGATATGTCAGGTATCTAGAAGTTGGATGTAGGTAAGAGCATGTAGTATTTTATTAGGGTGCACTCAGTATAGTT